TCCACACCAGACACATCTAAGAAGTTCCGTCAACCATGGCAGGGACCGTTTCCGTTTTATCGCACTTAAACAAAAACATGATCGGATGGAAGATGCCTAGATGTATAAATGGTGCACTGTATATTTATGTGTGCGTCTGAACATTCTCTTCTCGCATTGTATCTTGTCAGCGCAGTTTTCCTATCAGTTTCAGCGACCTTTCCTGGAACGTTACTGCTAATGTAAGAGCTGGAATAGAATTTTCTAATCTCGTTTTCGAATGCAATGCACAGCCCGCGCCCATTGTTCATCGCTGGTTGCTTCTGAACGCGATGTTGGGCAACATTCTTGGACTCCAAGTACATTTTTGTATACAGCTACTTATTGAGGTTGTGTATATTTGTCACTCAATANGAACTACCACCGAAACCGAGCTTGTTTGCTAACCTGTATTCGAATGGATTACAAACGCCTTTGTTGAAGATGATACACGTTGTCGAAATACACTGTAGCCGGTCTGAGTTGTGCCGATAGACGCTGTCCCCTGAGATAAATCTGAGTTGAGAAATCAAAACAGGATGTTCAGTTTATACAAAATCACCACACTAGTGTATGAGTTCAAATTTTATCTTGTTATTCCGGTGAAATGGTGCTAATTATTTCATTGTATCCTTGTATCATTAATAAGTATCTTCTCAAGTGTGCCTTCCAATGCCAGAAATATGTAGGCACTTGCATTTGGCTCAAAGAAATCACCGTTATTCAAGGGGACCTCTGCGTCAATGGAATTCACTCACTGGGCTACTGAGGGCCTAGAGTGAATCCACTCATGCAATGATTCATTCCGACATTCATGCATGAGCATGGTGACCGATCTATCGATCCATTTTGACTTGATTCGCTTCCTTACTCGACCGGCCGAGGCCAATTGCCACTGGGTTCGTGCAATCTCATCTAAAGTTCACACGATCAGGGTCAAGGACATAACCCACCCCGTTGGGGCGGGGGCATTAGTCAAACCTCACGCCATTGTAACTTTCATCCTCACTCGGTAACTCACTCAAAAAGTACTTTTATTTGACTATGGAGAAATCAGTTCACTCAGACGGAACGGGATTTCGAAAGACCTGGTCCAATCGGTGACGTGTGACGGCAGAAGAATTAGTCGCTTTGTTGGGTTCCTGGTAGAATTCGATCGGTTGAATTCACTTGGAATTACATCCGATTTGCTTGGAGTTACAACTGGAAGTTGAAAAGGTATAGTTACAGACGAGACAGTCAGTAGTCGTCTTCACAACACCCACTGTGTACCCAAAAGCAATTTGTGCCAGCACTCAAGCTCTTATGGCCAGATTGCCGTCTAGTGACCAGCCGTGAAACATTCCAAAATGCCGAACAAATTCGATATATCTACTACTCATTACCAAATATTCTACCAAGACCATCAGGTCACGTTTGTTGCGGTTAATAGCATCTAACCCACTTACAAAACATCGAGTCATAGCACTGCTTCTTCATTGGACTGGCTCTGAAAGAGCTGTCTATCCAATGGTCACCCGGTGTTGCAAACAAGGTTATTGTGACGAAAATACACTTCCTCGTTACAAGCATATGAATGAACTGACAGAAAATCACCGGGTACGTATGCCTGACGAGCGGCAAGAACCGCGAAACCGGTCGTGTNCCAGGGAAATTCTGTCCAGTCATTCACATACTACTAATATGAAACCTGGCCTCTTCGAGAAGACCTTTTCCAACGACCATCAATTTTCGATAACCGTTGTCTGTGCAACATCTCCCGCGTATGATGGTAGCATCGCATCAATAGCGATGAGACCAGATGACATGCGTGTCAGTGTGGCAACACAGACCGATTTTAACCTGGAAGCAACACGGGATAGATTGATAGATATCATTCGGCAATTGCGGCGTTTACTGTTAGGGAGAAGCGGCCAAACCTTTCAACTGAAACTTGCTGTAAGTCAAACCTTCGAGATAACGCCGGCCGAGGGGCCACGCGTTCCAGTTTCTGGATATCGGGCTATATGCCAAAGGCATCAATTAATCAAAGGTCATGCAGTCCAAACAGAAGTNCTCGGAAAACGGCGATTGGTTGATGCCCGTTTGAACAATGATATTTCTATTTGAATGTTAATTTAAACCCATTGATTCCGTTCAATAAATGAGCCATCAACTCTGTGGCTTCCCTGCATCTCGGTGACGAGAGATTACGGCATGCAGTTGCCAGTGCAATTTCGTGGTTCGTCTGCGTTTGCCATTGGTGATTCGTGCCAATTCTGCTTACTACAAAAAATATTAAAAAGTAGTAACTAAAAGAATGAGAGCAATTTTTAAAGCACATTATTAAATGCCACTATAAAATACCGGATTTATCAATATGACCTGTTTCTGTGACTTTCTAGTGATCGCACTACCGACCGACTAAGTGTGAATTCAATCTGCTTTTTTTGCTCATATTGGTTCCCCCAAATTAGAGAGATTTGTATTCCAGAAGCTAAGGGCAAGACGTTCGCTGATTTTATCTACTCGTTTACCTATGAGGACTATACAAAAGATGCACCAGATTCGATCAGACAACATTTTACCAATACCGGACAGTATTACGATCGAGGATACTTTATCATTCTCCAATTTCTACTCAATATTTGTATGTGTTTACGGAAGGAGGTGAGTAAATTCATCCAAGTTATGTTCTGTTTCCAATTGTACAACGATTGTAATTCTCATATGTATCGGATTTAGTTGATTTTACATCATTTAAATTATTCATAATGGACTATCAACCGGATATGTATTTATTCGTTTAGAGACAAAATAGCGTGCGTTTGCAACTCCACGAACAGAAGCATCCGGTCACTTAAATTGTCTCATCGAACTACAACCGCTTTCGGCATTCTGGCCCAGAGATTTCGAGAATTAACAACTCCAACATCGAAAGACAAATCCGGATTATTGTTTCACAAGCAGCTGTAGAAACGAAATTTACAGAAGTATCAACGATCTATTCCGATTGGATTTTCAATAATTTATTTTGTTGTTTGTTATCTAGCCTCCGGAAGCCTCGATCTGGTCGGGGGTGGGTATCTTGTACCTATCAAGCTGTTCCTATTCGACCAAAATTCGCAAATAGCCTCTGTTGAGGAAACTCTGCTCACTACTTTCATGTGGCGGTGTTCTCTCACCATAACGAAAGAGAGATCGATAAGCTAATATTCAGGGTTATTACGGGGTCGGTGAAATACTGGTAGTTCACCACGGGAAGTTGGCTAAAAACTGTGATTTCAAATCAACCAATCAACCTTAATGGTTATAACAGTGATCACCGGTTCGTTTGGGTGTCGAGGCGTAGTGGGCAACTTGAACGTTTGACCCCGCCAAAGGGCAAATTATCCGATGTATTGGACACCGGCCCCAAATGGGTTGCGATTTTCACAAACCGCCCCTCACCCCGCCTTGCGGGTCGGGCCTTGGCTAACTGAAGTGTCCGGCTGTAAATCTCGAAGAAAATTTTAGTAATCAGAATAACACTGAACGTAGAAATACGAGAACTCGTAATGTACGGCTCAGAACTGAATTGGCTCCAACCTGAACTGCGGACACCAATGAAATACACGAGGAATTGATAGCAGTAAATGCTTATGTTTATTGATGGAATCAGATCATGTTTTATAGAAGGTAATAATCCATATGATTGGTTGAACGAGCGTCCTCCAGTCACTTAACCGTTTGCACCGACGCATCGTATGTACTAACTCGGATGTCATGTTCGCCCGGGGTATCACTGGTCGAGCTTCCTGAACGGTGATTGGATGACATAAAACTGTACCTGGTCGTGCATGGATTGCGGTCACTTAAGTCCGGATCACCACAAAAATTCACCTGCTTTGGACTAGGAAACCTGACACCATTGTACACGAGAAACGCATGGAATAATTCATTTCTTATAAAGCTTGTTGTGTCTCGATTTGGCACACAGTTTGTAATCAGACGCATTTGAAGTATAATGAAAGGTATGTTCTCTCCCCAGATAAAATATATGGGTATGTATTGTATGATTTGCATTTTGCCGTCGGTAATACATTCTTTCTGTTGGGTTTGCGGGGAACGGCTTATAAACGGTTGTGTATGTGTGTGTGCGTGTGTGTGAAAGAGAGGGAGACAAACATGTCTGCGGGGGGTTAATCCCTTGTCAGTGCTTGCCTTCTCTGTTGAGACTGGGATGCAGTGAGCAGATTCATAATGTTAACAGAAGATTGCCTTCAATGAGGGATACATTCATAGAATAATACCTCATGTTCCTTGATAACACATCCGAATTTGATCACGATAAAGTTGAGGTGAAAACAAATAACATTTTTACTTTCTCACCGGTAAAACTTGAATAAACAATATTTACTTGTTCACTGGTCAAGCAGAACACAGTACAATGTCTTCATTGTGTTTTTCTTTTACTTTCATATTTAGGCTACCGATCTTCACTGTCCGAATCCGTGCTGGCGACCGAATGTATGCATCAATGACCCGCACAGTACCGGATCTTGTCTGATTATCAGAGATCCACAGAAGAGAGTCTCTATTCATCCACGATTACGAATCAAAGTACGCGATATCTACGATTATGACTATCAGTGTGCATGTAAACCGGGCTACGCCTTCAATGAAACATTGAAGAGATGTATGGAAGAGCCCCCCAAATGCGATCCAACCAGGTTGGTTACCATAGGTGACAATGAGAGTTTTGATTTTTGTGAGACCAAAGAAGACACTAAATTAGGTTATGTAAATACGGTCGTTGAATGCAAATTAGGAAGCGGAATTGGTATACCAGGGGATTTTTCTGTATGTATTGAATACATGGCTGGCTGTTTATTAACGCTATCGTGTGATAAAAGTAAGTAGCTTATTATACTGTAGTCACATATTCTGGGTAATGCAGCGCTCATACGAGCAATATTCATATGATACTATATAATGTGTGCAAGTTGTTTGGTGGAAAGACATCGGATTAGTTCTGACTGGTTCCTGGAATTAACTGTTGGGTCGGAGAGAAAACGTTTTCGAAGGAGTCAAGCCTAATCAGTTCCTGTTTGGATCTTTGGGTCACAGGGAACACCATTCGTAGATAGGAGACTACAGCTTCAGATTCAAGGTATGGTTTAAAAAGAAGGTGATAGACTGGACACGTGGATCTCCATAGACCTGGCTGTAGCTAAATGGCAGCGACGAACGATCCTCACAGACTTGGCCGATATCCGACAAGTTATCATCACTTTACATGGTGAATATTTGTATTAGCCCATTCGGTTTTTCGCAGGCACCTGGCACTCTTGATGATGTTTGGTGTGGGTTTCACTCCTTGGGAGATCGTTAATTCCCGACCGAAATGTTCGTGGTTCGAGTCCTGTGACAGACACAAAAAGTAAGCACTGTAGACGAGTCCCAAACAGGATGGAACAGCTGTCCAGCGCATTTAAATGTTGTCATCACTGTTTCTGCGTCCAAACGATCTGCGATATGCCCGATAATTCATTGTAGAGATAAAGTGATTGTAGTGCGGTTTTCAAAAAAGTATGCACCACCACAAGTTCCAAACGCATACCAAACAGAACTAACACATTCATGATTGAAGGTTTGTAGTTTCTCTACCTGTTTATTTGGTGACGTGTTATCATTACTTTTCGCCTGTTTGTCGACCGTGGACATTAGTTTGCAAATGTTTAATCACTAGTCGAAGTGATATCCTCAGTGTTTGTAAAATGGTGGACTTCTGTCTTCAAATCATCTGATCCACTTTCTAAAAATTATTCGAGATCTTCCAACCAACATCGAGCTAAAGTGAATGACACATCCGCCCCAAACGGATTAAAGCAAATAAAATGTCTGGAAGACAGTAATTTTGTAGATGCACTCTTGGCGAAAAAGTGAACTAAACTCCATCCAGATATGGGCAGTTCATGTGAGAATTATTGACGTAATTCCTTTTTGTTTGGGTTTCATATGCTACTAACTCGATGGGTGTACACCGCTGCGGTTCCTAGCGTTCTCCTTTACGATTGCGAGACCTGGCTGGCTCTCCGAGCGGAAGATGCCAATCAACGTTCTGTATTCGACCACCGATCTCTCCGGAGCATTGCTCGTGTTTGATGGGAACATCAGGTGAGCAATAAAGAGGTTCATCTTCGCTCCATACCGCCTCCGATGGTTTGGTCACGTATTGCGTATGCCTGCCCATGGGCTTCATTTCCGTACTCTCTTTGCACGTGCCGGGTAAGGCTGGAAGAATCATCGCGGCGGTCAGACCATGGCATGGCGTAGAGGTATTGTAGCAAGAAGGCGAGCTGGCTGGGAAAACGTCTGTTGATCCAATTCAAAAGCAAACAGTGTATGCGTTCGATTATATACAGTCAATTCTCAACCGCGCGGCGGAATGATTCATGCCTGTTTCTGTGGGTCATTCCTTGTTGGTTTTGGTCCGCACTTGGCACGTGCCTTGCCTCTTCTTCCGCGTGCCATTCCGACTGGTTTGACCCGATCACGACGCGAGATGCATTGATCGACAGCTCCGACGTTGTGGCATTCGTTGGGTATCTTTTCCGTTAGCTGCGGATTGTCTGTCGGGCTGTAATTGTCGATTCGCTCGTTTCGAGTGGCAGTCAACATTATCTCGCGAGGCACTTCCCGCCGCTGCGTCTGCGCGTCTGGTCGGATAAGCCCCATTCTTGATTCGGTCGCTAGCCAGGATTGTCTTTGTATCGCGTTCCATCACAGTATGAAGAAGCTGGATTCAGCTTCAGTTTCGGTTGGTGCAGCCCGCCTTCCGGGTCGGGACCCTAGGGGAGAGGATTGTCGTTGATTAGAGACGCTGAGAGATATGACCCAGAATCAAAATCAGTAGCGTGAATGTTGTACGGTCTGCCTCTGGAAATCCAATTCTCCATAACAAAAACGATAAACTAACACACACACATAAAAGGTCAAAATGTGTACGGTGAAACACAAAAATTCTGTTATTACAGTTATCTACCATTTTCCATTTTAACTGTTTCGCCTTCTTTTCACTCTGTTATGTATCCCAATCCACCCATCTCCTGATATTGTCACTGTTATAAATATATATCTTCGCCACAAAAATAAAAACAGCAGGAAGTAATAGAAATCGAACGGTGAAACATAACCATTCATTCAAAATAGAGATAACTCAGTCAGATGGGCCGCGGAAATGGAGGTATCCATTGGTGCCGATAGTGTCCAATAATGCTGTAACAACCGTGTGACCTGCCAATATCTCATCCATGACGGTTTGAGTTGTCACATAGACTAGGCGAATGTCTCATGCGAAGTACTAATCCGTTTGCCATTTACCAATGTAACGAACGAGGTTGTGTCCCCAACACACTTTCCCCAAAACCGTCGTAAGCTTCATAGGTGACAAAGTATTAAAGTAAAGCAACAAAATTACTAACAATCCGACCGATTACAAGAGAGAAATCGTGAATTCGGTCTAATCACATGGTGAATTTCGTCGTGGACAGAGAAAATGACAGGTAAACTGAACCCTGGAGGTTAGTGCTGCTGAGGTGCGCAAGGTATGACGCCAATAACAAGCTGATAAAGATAGGTTGTGCTATATCGTTAATGAGGAACATAAAAAACGGTCTGATTAGCTACCCGATGACTGAGTGAGTAGTATGATTGCAGTCTGCTTCCGAAGTCCTGGCTTCGATCCCTGGTCGGGTCAATGGATGAGACCCATTGAGGTCGAGACCGCTGGCCAGTGCTTCCTAGATTCTCGGTTCACTTTTCATTTGCCCAGTACACGACGGAAATCAGATAGACGTTTGAGGTACAACAATTTGAAAACTGCCTCACAACTCCTTTCCATCATTCATTAGGTATTTGTTTGCCGTCACATTTTATTTCTAAGCTTGCATTGTATCGTTCTATTCTACTTTCAGATGTCATAACGGAGGTATATGCGAAGTTTTGCCCCCGAGTAAGCGTGCCATGACTGGACAGGATCTTATCTGTCACTGCCCACCAGCTTGGGGTGGTCCTATGTGCGAAGTAAGCCATAAGTACATTCGTCCGGTAGTTGTTTGATTTTGGATGATCAGATTAGGTGTTGTCCCTTTATGTACAGCAATATTACCACTGAGATTAAAATAAAGTTTATGTACTTGTAATTCTAATTATAAAGTTTTTAAGCGTAAAAGTGTTACCAGTAGAGAAAAAGAAGGAAAACAATTAATTCCCGAAAATTTCACCAAATTCAGTGAAAATTTGTTCTTGGTTGACCAGAATACGTGCCAAAAGGTGTAACTATATATGTTTACGCGACAGGGAACAAAACTATATTGGGATCTAGTTGATGGATGGGAACTAATATTATGTGCACTAGTAAAACTGAGATTTTGATGAATGCTTTATGCAAATACAACTTCTGGGGTCCGAGAGATATTGATGCACCGGTACGTAACAGCTCTAATCACAACAAAACTGTTAATTGGGGTGGTGTGATGACTTGCTTGCCTCCATGACCACACGACATATACAGGTTGGCCTTGCACAACCGCAGATCCAATCATGCCTGAAAGGTCCATGAGTAGGGGACAGACAAAGCTCATTCTCACAAGGCCAGCCGATTGGGCACCTCCTCGCTACTTTTGACTATTCACTCTCGCCTCTGGAGAGGTCACTCCAGCGAATAAACATGAGAAGGAGATGTTTACCGGCCAAAAACCTCGCTCAATGCACGGTATGATCTGTAATAATCGGCTTGGTTATGAATGTAAAATTTCTCAACCTTCTGACAAGAACTCAGTTGCTTAATACGGTTATTTGAAAGTCGTTCTATCTCTTAAGTCATACACTATACACCCATCCACGACGAGTCCAGCACCTACTGTTGCATTCTAGCCACTTCTGAAATACAAACAAATATAATCCTCACCCATCAATATATATTTGCGCCTCTTCAGATTCATCGTTTTGAAGAAAACAGTGGCACTGAAAAGCAGTGGTGTAGTAGTTGAACACGAGAAACCACCAATACAATGAAGCAGCTTCTACTGAGAACGTCGGAGACCAATATCTTCGCTTCTGGATGCACGCCATACAGACTTTCCATTACAATACCTTAGTTACAACACTCATGAGCCGCTGGAATCATCTCCATTCGATTACCATAATAATTCACTAGTGAGCTGAATATTTCTAGATTACCCCGAACCAAAGTAGGTGAAATTTGCCGAGGATTTACAATTGGAGCCTCCGGTCAGGTAAAGCGTGATTCGCAAGGTGGTAAGGCTGTTTGTGAAAGCTACAATCCCTCCAGTATCAGTGTCCATTTCATCAGTTTATACGCCCTTTGGGTGTGGTCGAACATTCAAGGTACCCAATATACCTCGAAGCATAATCGAGCTGATGATCACTGTCACATCCAGGAAGGGGTAAGCGCGGGGTTCGCACGCCTATTTTTGATTGGTTTGGAATCAGGGTTGTCAATCGACTTCTTTAGATGAAATGTCCTCTCACCTTGGTAAGAAAACACGTACGCCTTGAGAAGACGGGGAGTAGGATTTCCTCGGGGGAAGCTGTTTGAGACGCTTGGTCGTATGGGAGCTTTCCCGACGTTCAGAGAAAAGGCAACCAGCCAAAATACTAGACGCCCACCCGTGACCATACTGATGATTTCGGAAGCTTATTTGTCCTGGACTGTCTTCTGAAGCTCCTGGCGATATTTGGACCGAAAAATCCCCGTGCAGTCGTATTGCGGACAGAAACAACTGCGATCACTCTTCTGTTGCAATTTCTAGAGTGAACGTGTGAAAAATTTGATCAATGAACTGGATCAGTTACAATAGGCTATAAGTCATGGTTTAGTTCATTGAAGTCCCTAGTGCATGGTTGACTATATATATATAAATGAAGTGAGGATTGTGCGTGGATTTTCAAGGATGATAAGTCACGATGAAAACCCCTACCTCTTCTCACCATTACTCACGAGTTGCTTTTTTAGGTCAAACCGAAAATTCGGATCACTATTTACAGAAACCGTGATGGGGCTTAGGGATATAAAAAATTACAGCTGTAAGGAGTTGGATTTTGCTATGGTTTTTAGTGTGTATAGTCGATTCATGTGTTACCCTGATCCGTATGCCCAAGAGTTATCGTCATTGTGATCGCTTCAGCACAGTTATCCCATCTACTTTGATTGTTCTTCATTCTGTCTGGTGTCCCTTATTCCCATTCGATTCGCACAGGAACCAAGAAATCCGTGCAAAATTTTCCATCAACTTTGTGGTCGCTACTCCTGTTTTCGAGATACAAATAACCGAATCAAAGGCTACTCTTGCTCCTGTCCACCCGGTACCCGAAGCCTGAGTCATGCGAGTCCAAGATGTGTGAATATAAATGAATGCAAGGAGTTGATTAATCCCTGTCTGAACGGTGGTGTTTGTGCCGATCGTTATCCGCCAGATTCGGCCATTGCGAGAAAACGGGGTCAGCCTTTCGGTTACACGTGCGTGTCGCTTCTCCTCACTCAATATCTGTCTGTAGACATTCGAATGTGTTCAAAATGACGTATAATCATGTTTTCCAATGTCTAGCAATTTTCCCCAAAACAAATGCTATTCGAGGCTTAAGATGTAGCTGTTTATCCTTTAGAGTCATTAAAAGCTGTGGATCCATTCGATTCAGTACAAGAAAGTATTGTGCAAATAAGGTATCAAAGACTAAAACCCACCCACAAGCTTCCGGTCGCAGAAGGACTAACTTTCACCTTACTCAAGCCTGTTGCTAATTTGTGAAGTCATCAATGGGTATAACAATGCAAATTCCTGATGGATCCTTTTCTAAACGTAGTTTCTGACAGACTAACCAGAGAAACCACGCCGCTTCATGTCGATCGTCGGTCATTACGAAGAGAAAAGCGCTCAATGAAATTAGTTCATTTCTTCAAACTGGAGGCAGAGAGGGATGATGAATGTTGTGTGAAGTTCTTAGACTTAGCTGATTTTATCGCACAATTTTCCCCAATGCTCCTCAAGTTTTAATAATGTATCGCACTCCCGGGATTAGAACAGGATTCGCAGTAGACTATCCATAAGGAAGCATCCCACTTGAAGATGAATGGGACTTGAACAGAGCGATAGATCACCAAATATGGGATGATTGTGGTGGCAATGTTGCACTGGGGCGCACAAAATCGGGGTTGGGGGTGGGGGGTGGAAAGGGATAGTTCAGTCTAATTGTGATTGACTTCGGGGTGGATGGTAGACGATGGTCTTTGATCTTCGTTGTTCATAACCAATTGATAGTACAAACGAGCAGGATTGATTCAATCAGATTAAGCGAGTGATTTACTTTGCCTCATTGAATTTTTGAATAACTACATTTCCAGATGAAATACACTAGACGAACAAGTGGGCTGCACACACGCACTCAATGGTGCGCCAAATCGGATAGCCTGACCACATTTCGTCGCATCTACACAATTGTTTGAGAGATTTATCAAACAATGGAAATTGCGGAAAATTGGTGTGGGCATGGGGTGAGCTTATGGCTCGAAAGCACTCACTTCGAAAGCTGAAATGGGTTCAGCGTTTTGCTTGTCTATGTAATAAAGGATGCAGCAACTATTGGGTTTTTATGTTGCGAATTACCTGATCTCTCATCCCGTCTTCGCACTTACATCGGATTCCTGCGTCGCATGTATCTGTCGCTTGGTCACATAATCCCCCGACTGCTAATTACACGTATGTAAGTAATAGTTACGTTTCTTGAGAGCTCTTGTCTTATCAAAAATATCCGTTGATTTTCGAACAGTGTTACTATGTCGCGCAATCTGATGTCAGTGGCACTTGTATATTTAAACATCTTGTGATGTGGAATTCCCAAGTAATTTTGAACTTCATGAATATATGGTATTTATTATCCCGTATGTTATCCAATTACGCAAACTTAGATGTCATTGTCGATTCGGATACGCCGGAGATCGCTGTGAACGTCCACCACCAAGCCTATACTGGTCTGGATGGAGTATTTGGTCCAAATGTTCCACATCGTGTGGTGTTGGAGTGCGTATACGACATCGATCTTGTCCGGTTCGAAACAGGTGCACCGGTCAGACTGTTCAAACCGGTCGGTGCTTGGGCCCGGTGACCTACTGTTCCGAAACAGGTGAAGACGTACCAGCTGAAGAAACCGGTCTGGGTACTCGTATTGTGCAGAGTGTAAGTAACGGTTTAGAAGAACACAAGGCGCAATGTAAACCAGTCGTATTTAAACATCGTGCGTGTGTATTCGTGTTACACTATGTTAGTTCTGTCTTTAAGACACTGATAATAACTCTGAATATCTTAGATGAGTCTAGGTTTACCTCGTACAAGACAAAAGTGGACCTATTGCATTCGCAAATTAAACTGACGGGAATGTTTAAATCCAGTTTGCCTCATTGGCTGGAACAAATCGATCATAAAATAAATGAATTAACTGTTTGCGTGTGGTAGCCGACAACAGTGGTCAGTCGATCAATAGCGACAGGTAAATCAATGCTAGGGACAACAATGTTCACATATTACCTCCAAAAGATACTTTTGGTAGCACATCTCCATGTGAATTTGTTGACATATCTTCATGGTTCCTTGGAGAATGTGTATGGACTTTCCACACACAAAACGACAGGTTATTCCAGATAAATCATCTCTCGAGCCAAGACACTGTGTCCGTTCCAAGTCCACCCAACTTTGATTGAAACAAGTAGTATGTCTCCCCAGCAATATCTGGCATTTTTCAGTTTTTTACGGCGTCACTTCATACATCAAGTAAATCGAATTATAAACGTGACGGTTACCTCATTCCACTGTCCAATCAAATCGCTTTCATTTCTGTCTAGCCTGGGTAACTGTGGAACTTGTAATACCATTCGTAATCCGAAATCATTGTTGTTGATTAGGTAGTATGGTTACTGGTATATATATATATATATTCAGAAACTATTCGCTGATAAGTTACACCGGTTGATGGGATTTCATCCTTCACAGAACCGGAGTAACATGAATTGGAAAAGCCATAAAGAACCTGATGTGCTGTTTTCACTTTGTAACATGTCTTGTTATACGGTGACCCTGGTTAGAAATATCTTGCTTTCTCTTTCTCGTCTCAAATAATTTTCAAATCCTAGTGGGGTATCGGTTGGACTGTTGGAGACGATCGAACCTTGAATGATGCGTTCTTCTGGTCAGAAGCCGAAGACGGTTGGCCCAGTCTCTATTTTCATCAAGAAGGTTATCAATTCGGAGACATTTTGACATGGACGAAACTCACTCAACTGTCCCGTAATTGGTCTCTTGGGCAAATGATGATCTATCATGCGGTCGTTTTGGGTGTGTTAGCTATTCCGTTANGTTACTCTTTATCTTGGTCTCGTTAAGCAAACTTGTGTACAATTTGCTTGGATCGAGGAAAACGAAAGCACAAGAACAAACCGAACAAGCACAATGAAACCAAACAAACAACTCGTGCAAGGTGAAAAGCAGATGAATTCCCTTTTCACATAATTGTCTACTTTTATGCAATACTACAACGACGTACAGTTAACATGACCAGTTTCAAATACATGTGATGCGCAGCCAAGTGTCTTCTATTTTGTACTGTGGATCTCCATCGAGAGGGAACTACCTAATCATTGGTTTTCG